GCTTCCCTTGCTGAGGCAATGAGGCTGGCCTAAAATTGATCAGTGTGCCGATGAGGCTGTCACTGCTTTATTTTATTTGTTCGTTTTGGTTTAGTTTAGTTTAGTTTTTTTGTTTTGTTCTATTCTGTTTTTGGCCAGTGAAGTGTTTTGTATTTATTGTTATGTCATTTGAGAGTAATTCTACAGAACTATGAAAATTACTTTCATTTTCAATTCAATGAAATGAGTTTCAAGTTTATCATTTATTCATTCATTAGCTACAAAGAAATTGCATGAAAGTGCCTCCAAAAAGTAAAAGTTGAACATTTCTATAACAAAAAAATAAATACATCAAAGATTCAAATTTATATTATGCAATAGGACAAACACAACAGTTGTCACTGTTAGAAGTACTGAACAAAAATATTTAAATAGACAGGAATTGATTATGAGCTTCAGATTTGCCACAAACTTTGTTTCGTTTTTAAATGCGGTTTTTCATGTTTTGGAGCCAAACGCCTTATATGCTTTTTAAATGTGTCTTAATTGTCTTATTTTTACTGGGATCTTTAATGAGGTCCTTTTATGGTAATGAAATTGATTATTTGGCTATTATAATATTATACATGTTGATGCACATGCAAGGTCTTATTTTAACAGAACTTTACGGAACTATAACACATTATCCTTTTATAGGGATGGCGCATTCTGTAGCACTGTGGCCTTTTAGTTAGAAGGATGCCGGTTCAAGGCTCGCTGGTGACCTTCCAGGAAGGAGTTTGCTTGCATAGGTTTTCTCTGGGTACTCCAGTTTCCCCCACAATCCCAAAGACATGCATTTAGATTAATTGAAGAATCTAAAATCCCTTTGTGTGCATGCCCAGGATATACCCTCACCTCTCGCCTAATGTTTTTTTTTTTACTTTTTTACTTTAATTTGCTGCCATTTCTTGATGTAAATATGTCTGTCTGGTTTATGCAAAGGTTTCTTTTGACAATTATGTTCCTCTTGTCCTTATCTCAGACAAAATCGGAGTAATGCGTATACATCCATCTTGCAAATGTACTGTCTTCCGTCAAAAAGTTAATGCGTATAGTCACTAGCCACAAACAGGAAAAAGAATTACTTGCACTATTTTTATTTGGTAATGTCTTACAGGTGAAAGGTTGGTTGAAATGCAATCGTTACTGAATATGTACAGAGTAAAATATTACTGAAAAGGTAATAGTAATGCTTAGTAATAGGGTGTTCAGCAGTGATTGGCAGGTTGAAGCGATAGTAGAATTCTCACCATCTCTGGTGATGTTATTTGTCTATAAAGATCATTAAACATTTGTACGCTGTGGTTGTTTGCAACCCCGTGGAGTAGGACAGACCTGAGCGGGGGAGGAGTGAGTGAGGTTGAAAGGTTGTTGTTATGCTGCTGTAGTGTGGATGAAAAAAACTCAATGACTGATACTTCATAGCCTCTATTCTTGGTAGAGAAAACAAAACTTAATCTCTCACACAGTTTAATGACATGACGTGGATTTATTTTGCAACTACTAACTAGTGCTACAACGATGAGTTTGTACGTGACAACATACTAGCTAAAGATTCATTTTATTGACGACTCAATGCAACAAAGTTTTCTTATTAAAGACAATAATGTGACTTAGAAAGCAATTTTTCTTTTCCTCTTCCTTTCTTTCATTTTCACTCGTGTACCTTCACCCTTCCCCAATCCTTTATCCACTCCCCCTTTCAGTTCAACACCGTCTTGTCCTGACACAACTATTATAAACTGACTCGCGGGAACCACAACTAATAAATATTTAATAAATACATTCAATGTCCCCAATACAGAGGAGAAAACACCACACCAGGTGTTTTACTCCCCTGGAGAAAGCAAAACTGTCCAACTCAGCAAGGCATGTACTCTCCCATGTGATGGCTTTTGAGCAGGACAGGACAAGGTAAAAAAAAAAGAAAAAAAGAAAAAAGAAAGCACTTTTACATTCTCTAAGTTAGTATAGCTAAGGAAAACAAAGCTAAAGCTGAAGCTTGTTCCCCAACCTCCTCATTGTTTTCTTTAAACAGAACCAAGGCGGTGACACTAGTTGACACTAGTTGACTCAATGCTTCTTTTCTTTTGCTTACAGGTCCTTTGGCATCTTGACATCTTCCGCAGAAGCTTCCGGCAATTGAACACACATAAGTGCATGGAGGACTCTTGCATCTTCTGCGCGTTGAAGGTGAGTGATACTAGATTTATCACTTGTTTGATCCCCCCTTCTGTTCAAATGTGGACTGGGTTAGCATTCTAATTGGTGTTTGAATATAGTTTAAAGCTTGATAACAAGACCAAGACCAAAAAAGACCAAAGTTGGGCCAAACTACCAAAAGGCTCTTCCACTTAAAGTGGCCTTTGGGTTAAAGGAATCTCCTACTTCCCACCGTGCTCTTTAAATGATCCAGGCTGCTTGGACTAATTGACTTCCTCACTGACCTTACTATAGCACAAGATCAGAATGGAAATGAGTTTCCCAGCATCAAGAGCACTCTGTCACTCTTTTCGAGGAAGTCTTTTTAATTTCCTGCCTGGCGGCTGATAGATGTGGAATGTAGAGGAGGAGAGGGGGATATATGCTTGGAAAAGCAACTCGGGACTCTTTTAAATAACAAGAAAAAGCCTCTCACTCAAACAATATCCTCTAGTCACCCTTAGGCTAAATGTAGCTGTGCTATTTAAAGGTGTAACTTACAGGTAAGAAGTCAAAACTGTCAAATTCCTTGAAGAGGCCTTCTGTTTTGTTTTGAAAGAAACATAAAAAGTCCAATTATAGCAATGTTTTTTTTTTGTTGCCTGACTCACAGGATGGCGAGTGAGACAAGGAACGAACACAGTGTTTTCACATTTTCACAATACACCCACAGGGAGCTTTATTCTCAAAAATGAATAATTTAAAGGTATCACTGTACCCCAGGGTTCCAGGGTTCCCCAACTTTGCTATAGCAATTGGGTAGAAACAGTTGGATTCGCTGCTGAGCCATCATTTTTCTATATACGTCCTTGGCAACCCATAAAAAGTCTGTTGCTCATTCCTACATCCAAGCCAATCCGCCATCTAGCTGTAAAGCCTCTGTGTGTGGCATAAAAATTTGCCACCCGTTCTTCTGGGGCTTGGGTTGGTTAGCCATTCTGAGGGTGAGACTCACTAACTCACCTCTCTCTCTCTCTCTCTCTACCCCTCTTTCTCATGATCCATTGATGATGCCTTGGTCACTGGTAAGAAAGTGACATTCCTGTAATGAGTCTCCTTTCCTGGGCTTTCTATTGAAAGGGCACCCCCTGGTGATGCTGAGCACCAATCATCCTCGTCACGGCTGTGATGGATAAAAATTACTTACTTCATTTAGGGTCAGGTTGCTATTTTTGGGTATTTTCTAGAAATGGCTGATTAACTTCTTTAGTTTGATCTGGTATCATCCTGGTGCCATTATTTAAGGTCTTTGTTCAAACGTTAACTTTAGATGAGCCAGACACATTTTACAGTTTTTTTGTCACTGGCGGTTATACAAATTCACCAAACCTGCCATTGTTTTTAGTAGAAGAAAGAGAGAGTTGGAAATGTGAGTTAGCATGTATTGTAATTGAGCATCAAACTACAACTTTCCCTCCAGATAGGTAATTTGAAGTGATTGAAACTAGTGTTGTAGTGACCAACTTTCTATGTTATCGGTATTGTCACAGTCTCGACTCTGTGACGCCATTTTGTCTTGTTCTCGGCTGTCTCTGATCTCGGTCTTGGCTGCACAGGTATTTTGAATCCAAGTACAAAAAGCAAGGCACACTTTCATCAAATAAAACAACATTATTGGATATTTTTTAAATATCCCAATCAGGAGCACATTTTGTCAAAACAAACAACAGCATATTTTTATTTATTTTCTCACAGACAATGTGAGCACTCTGTAAAGTTAGTCACACTCCACTAGAGATTCAGAGAACAATTTAAAAAGGTCAGCTATTACCTTTGGCTTTACGGCCTACAAAAATATATTCGTACAACGTCCATGTGGAAGAAACACTCTGCTGTGTGCAAATTTTGCAAAACTGCCTTCAATGTTTTTCTTCACCAGACCAAGGGAAATCCTTTCGCTAGATTTAACTGTTAGTTTTCAAACAATGTGGTGAAAAAAACCAAATCTGACAAAGCCATATGACATAAATGGGTTATAATGGAAGCACTGTAATTTTTTGTATTTGGCACATTATTTGTACATACAAATTCCCCATTTGTAAAAGGGCATTTTTTTGTTTTTATTTTTTTAAACTAACATTACCTCTCTAAAATGTGTTAACATGAGAACCTTGTTTAACTGTAAGATGAAACCAACACAGCCATAGTAATAAATAATTTAAGTATAACTTAAATTTAATTTTAATTTTAAATTTAGCCTAATATGGACATCTTCCCGACACATACCAAGTTCTATTAAAAATGGTAATAGGTGAGAACTGCTGATAATATTATTTCTAAGTACTTAACTAAGAGATTGTTGCTTAATTGACAGATTAACAGAAATTAGATTGCACTAACTAAAATGTTTATTGTTTGCAATAAAGAAAAGTAATTCTATTTTTGGTCTTGGTCTTGACTTGGTCTCGGACAGTCATGCTTTGGTCTTAGCATGCTACTCTCTAGTCTTGGTTGGGTCTTGGTCTCGGTCTCAATCTTGACTACAAGACTAACTGTAATCCATCGACAGGCCACTTGAAGCCGGTTTCCTAAGTGAGCACATCCCCATTTACGGCTACGCTAAAAGTCCTCCACTTTACTTAAGCAATAACATGTTAAAAAATTAACATTTTTAAAAATATCACTACTTTTGACCTTCATGACAGCTGTGAGGTAGTGACTTTTGAAAAATTTTCATTATTTTAAGTAACTTAAAGCCACCTTGCTAGTCTTTGCTAGTCTCTTGTCATAATTCAGTTTACACTTTGCTCAATTATAGTTACAAAGATGTATTTCCAGGTTGTGTCGGTCAGTGGTAGGGCGCATGCTTTGCATGTATGAGGTCCTGGGTTCAATCCCCAGCATCTCCAGGAAATTGAGTGTTGGAAAAAAAATGAATGAATGGATGAAAGATGTATTTCCATGGCAGACTACGCCCAATTTGAGCATTCAAAACAGAAACCTATGGGTGACGTCACAGACCCGCATTCATAGTTAGATATGATCTTTACTTGAGATCCAATCACTGTGGTACAAACATCACATCTAAGATGGTGACCAGGAAAAAAACCTTGCTTTAAATAATGTAAAAACAAACTGCAATACAGTATGCAGATTTTACATATTGAATGATGTCTTTACACTAGAAAACCAAGCGACTAGTGTTGACTGTTTTGGCATTACCGCCTATTTTGTAGGTTTATTATAGTAGGACATATTTAATTGGGAAATACATATGATGAAGTTGGTGATGGTCTTTTCATCGAGTTGCTTGATATGAAACAGAACGGAGCTTGTGTGAATTCCTTCGCAATGATTGAAATGTGTGCACCCCCCTCTCCTGTAGATGTGCTGAGACATCAGAAATCACTCCGCTGTGGGGACAGAGCTGTATCATGAAAATGCTTTTACTCATTTGCTAGGATTTATGAGTATTCTGAAAGATTTGTTTTTTGTCTGTTTCTCTGAATCTCTGACACCCTCTGTTTTTGTTCACTGCGGTTTTCTCACTGAATTAAATTTGTTTTTAAATATAGCATCATTCTTATGCTTTGTGAAATCATTCAGAAGCTAAAAACTGCAGATAATAAACTTATTTTCATTTTAATCAGACAGAGTTTAAACGTTTCTTTTTGCATTGTTTTTCACTGAAATGACATTGAGCTCCAATGGGTCAGTGCTACAAAAATGAGCGTACAAAGATTCACAGGAAAAAATCTGGTTCATTAAAACCTAAGATCAGAGTTTACCAATGTCTAGACTTATGGTTCCGGCAGCCAGGTCAGTCTGAAACCTGCCAAACTGAGTCTGTGTGAATGGAGGCACTAAAAGGATATTTTAAGCCACAGTGCTTCTTAAGCACTAAACGTAAGCACTTAACCTTTAGCTTTGAGCTATTTAGAAAAATTATATACATTAAGAGAACATAAAAATCTTGAGGCGAGATTAACTTGTGTTCATGACTTTCCCATTTACCCAATTACCAACATTTCCTCTCAGTGTGTGTTTGGCATCTGACGTCATCTGCAGCTACAGTAAAAAAAACTATTGGGTATTTTTCAAATCTAGCCAAGTCACTATAAAAATAACAATGTAACCGGTCAAGTTTGCAAGAATTCTTATTGTGAATTCATTAATGGATTGTGTTTCAATTCACAAACCTTGATTTACAGGTTCGCAATATATAAATATTAAACCTATTCCTTTATGCACAACATGTACACATTTCTCCAAATGGACGTATCAGTTTTACCAGTTTTACCATAACACAGTTTTCAAAAAAAACGATGTCATCCTGAATTCATGCTAAGTGTTAAACGTTTTCTAATTTCTAAAACTCATTATTATTCATTGATATTGTCACTGTTTTAACCATGTTTATTGAAAACTACAATTTGTGAACTTTGTTCATTATCATTAACTCACATGCTTTAGACAGGTGCATTGAAGTCAAGTGTATGAGCAACCAGTTTTGCCAAACAAGTGCTAATGATTATCAATGTCATGTATAGATTGAAAGCAGAAACAGAAACAGCTGTGTAAGGGGCTAAAACTGAATGTTTTCCTGGGCGAATTTCAGGGTTGTTGACACAGTGGTTGGCCAAGGATACTTTTGTAACAGATGAAAGACTCGTCAAATGAAATGCAGAAATAAAGTGGGCCCCATCTACTGTCCGATGAAGTCTAGCCAGAAGTGGTCTTCATCAGGTTGGAGCCAAAAAGATGGAAGCAGGTGCTCTAGACTGAGGAGTCAAAATGTGAAATGTTTGGCTGTAACGGAAGGCATTTTGTTTAGTGGGCTGGAAGTGGGCTTGAAGTAGAGCACTGGCGAGTGTCTATAGGCAACAGTGAACCACGGTGGAGGTTGAATGTTTGGGGCGGCACTTTTGCAATTAAATGTGAAGATTTGGTACAAGATTTTGATACAGGAAAGATACTTATCCATCATTTCAATCGGTCAAGTATATACTTGTCCCCCAAACAGAATTAAGTGAGAAGGTTCTCCAAGATGTTTGGAACAGCCTACCTGCAGAGTTCCTTCTAAAACGGTGTGCAAGCGAAGCTAGTGAAATCTGTGCTGTTTTGAAGATAAAAAGGGGGGAGGGGGTCACAACAAGTTTCTCAGTTGTTCATTTATTGCAATGTATTCATTGATGAAAATAAATGTTTACACTCTTTTTCCAAACCTCTATGAAAGCATTGCAGAGTGGTAGTAAGCGATCACTTGTGACCACAGCAGCACAGCACAGTATGTCACCTCTCTCATTTCTAACAGAGGAATGTTAGTTTTGGCTCATTGGTTCTGAGAGCTCCTCACGCATGGCACCCGCCAGCCTCCGGCTTGCCAGCCATGTTATTGAAATTTAATGATCTAACGCTTCTAATGAATGCTGAAATATGCCTTTACCACACAGCTCTTTTCAGCAAATGTGTTTATTTTCAAGAGTTCTCACTGTGAGGAATTTCAGAGAAGTAAATGTGCTGAGAGGTATGAGATGGAGGATGCAACGCATGAAACACTTGGACACAGCTGACTGAAAGTCAAAAGCTTTATTTGTATCTCATGGTATTATTTCATTAGACCTTTAGCTTTCTGAAGATTTTGTTGTTACGTCATATTTTAATATCAAGTGTAAGAGTTTCTAAAAAGCACCGTTTGGGGCGAAGATTAAATTGTGGATGAGGACAACATAAGTATCACAATGACAAAAATGGCATCAAAAACAACCATTTATTCACAACCAGAGATCAACAGCAAAACCAAGAATATATTTATTAGATTTAACTTTACCAAATAAAATATTCAGTGACAACAGATAAACAAAATAAACAAAAATTCCTCTCAAAAATCTACTCTACCCTTTTTGTTGCAGTTCCCATTGAAACTAAATAGACTACACCGATTAATATCACGACGTACATTTCTGATTTCTGAGAGTATTTCTGAATGAATACAATGTTGTTACACATAAATTATTTTTTTTTCATTGTTTTCAGAGAATAATATTGTTAGAAAAGTTTTTTTTTCCCAAAACATCATTTCTCCATTTTGATGAATTTCATTAAAAAATGAGTTCTCTCAAAAGGGGTCCAGATCTAAAATATAAATCCAGATCTAAAAGATTTGTTTTAAAATAAGTCACTTTTTTTGCCAAAATGCGATAACGCCATGGTGCTATCAATCCAAGTCTATAAATCCAAGGCACCCATCTTTTATTTATTTTAATAACGGTTTAAAAAATAATAATAAACATCAATAATGAATCAAGTGGCTGGACCCAGAATAGATCGGCAAAACAGTGTCAGAACCCCCACGATATTAGACTCACTGTTTGAGTTATATGCTGCCCGGTCAAGTGAGTCCGGATCCCACAGTCTCCCCTAGACAGCACTACATGCCATGTATTGTGTTTTTTGGAAAATTGATTATGGGCTATTCAAATGAGAAAAAATGCACTTCAGATTTGGCGTTTATCACGTTTTGGATGAAATGCACCAACATGAAATGCGGCTTTATAGAACTTGTAGACACAATCTAGTTAGAAGCAGGGACTCCTTTACACTTAATTTGCCACACCCCTCTGTGGCACACACACAACTTACGTTTCAAAATCAACCATATATAAAAATCAACCATATATATAAAAATATTTCTCTAATACAGTATATAATAAAAATGTACAAGAAATTCTGTGAGAAACTGCTTGATAAACTAAGCATATCAAAGTGTTCAATGAGGCAGGCAGGTACTATTTTTCTGGGGTAGGGAATTAGTGATCTGCCCTATCAGAAAACAGCACCAGCTCGCTTCATCTTGGTGATGGAACCTCATCAAATCTAGTAGCAAAATAAGTTCCGCCATGCAGTGGAAAAGCACCATTAGAGTTCTAAAGGTACTTGAGACTCATGACCCATACTGACCCTCAGCTCTCCTTAGAAAAGCACTCTCTCAAAGAAACTAAATAAATGCAGAGTCACAGTCACTGACACGTCCATCTAATGCAATGATTTTTCCTTATAATTGAAGCTCTAGTGACTCCTCTGTTTCCTGTAGCGAGAGCCAATAGCTGAGTTAGACCCAATTACAAACTCATAATCAGCATGAGATTCAATCCTTCAGCAATTTAAAAGCTGAGCCCGGGGAGTGTTTAATATTAATATATTTACTTGCGTCATAAGATTCCTGTGGGGGTGTATATGAATGTGTCTTCTTAATGCCCTTGTGCATTTTGAGCAGTCCGGATGATATGTGTCTCCGTTGAGAAGTGTGTCTAGTGTCTTTGAGAGGAGGTTAATATCTCATTTCACAGGCTATGCCTCAGGGGTGGCAGCTGACAACAAAATCTCGGGTGGTTGGTGTGTGAATGCATGTGACCGGTCTCGAGTTCAGTCTGTCCAGCTGGGTTGTGTGTCCTTGTTAGAACTTTCTGTGCCTTCTGAAATCCTTAGATTGGGTTGTAAGTCAGCATTGGTAGCCTATGGAAAAAGTATCCTATATTTTAGACTTTAGGGTTCCAAGCAAACCCTGAATTTGTTTGTCATCAGACAACTGTTACATTTAACTTTTAAAAGCATAATAAAATCCATTAATATCCATTAACAGTAATAGGCAAATTTATTATTTAAAACAGCAATTTATTGATTGGTCACTAGAGAGCCAGTGCTTTGTAGTGAATTTTGAAAAGTCGGCTTGCATCGAGCGATAGTCTATTCCAAGTTTTTTATCTTTCACTGCAGCTCTGCTAAAGGTTTCCTCTCTGGCCCTGTCCACACATACCCAGTTATTTTGAAAATGTGTATTTTTTTGCGCTGGAAAATTGTCCGTCCACACGTACCCGCTGCACTGTTTTCATGTAACCATGCTGGCCAA